ACTAAACCATAAAAATAATATTATTATCTATAATTATGCTGCGCAATTTAGGATAAAAGGCGACTTAGACGCCATATTATTAGTTTTTGTATTTCTGTGAATTAGGATTTTAAGCAACGTTGCAGATTTACTAAATTAGGCTTCTAGCAACGTCGGTATCATACGCTCGTTTCGACCCAAAAAATTATTCTCCAAACTTGTGCAGACTAGGGTTGGCACGAGGTTGTCCGACGTTGCGCCCCGACGTTTTGTCGCGTGACACAACGTTGTCCGACGTCGCAATGCTGCTTGGAGACAAACCCGAACCCAAACCTACAAAAACAAGATTGAAACGCATAACGAAGAAATATATTTTATTTATTAATACAAGGTGTTCCAGAAATAAGTGCAAGTATTTTAACTGGTAGTATAGTTGAACCCCAGAAACACGCCTATGAGGTTTTTTTCGCAAAAAAACTTTTGAAAATTCGAAATTTTTTGAAAAATGTTTAGGATTTTTTTTTAGTTTTTAGTTAAAAAACATAACTTCTTGATAATATGGCAACATAGGTAGTAGATTAAATTTACAAGAAAGAAAATCCAAAAAAGATCCAATGGTTCTCAAAATTTGAGCAAAACATTATTTTTTGGAAATTTTCAAAGTAAAATAACTGCGTTATTTTGGACTTATTTGAAAAACAATAAAGAGAAAATATGTTTCTTTTATCGAGATCTACCACTCCTTAAAATACTTGCACTTATTTCTTGGACAACCTGTATATAAGTAAGGTTGTATTCGCTCGTGCGAAAAAGCGCTTTTGCCTCCGGTTTTTAAAAAAATTAAATTGTCTTGATCAAAATTTTCGTAAAGACTAGTATTGGGTCGGACATCTGAATTTTTACTACAAAATGGCTCAGTTTTACAGGGTTCTACTGCTTTATTTCCATTATCGATAACGGTAATTTGATCTTGAATAGGCTACGATTCAAGATCAAATTCACGATTTTGAAAGTCACGATTTTGAGAAACTTTAAGACTTCCTGATTCATTCAGTTCAGCTGACCCAATCCTCTGTGAAATACATTACTTTTAGCGTTTCGGGTATATATACTTTTCTTACACATTGTAGAAAGAAATTCTCTCTTTTCTGCTACAGCAGCAGCTTCCTCGTGTACACGTGTTTTTAACTGAATGAACAGCGGTCGCCATAAAAACTGCAGCATTTTTTAGGTTATTATCACAGAATAACTACAGAACGATCAGTCAATGTAATAAAAAAGCGAACAAAATTTTTGCTGCCATCTATAGCGGGCCGAGTGCGGCTCAGGGCTTCAAGGTCAAAATAATTATTTATTAAATAAAAAAGTCGTGTCGGCGGCACGATTCGAACCGGCTACCTTCGTGTTGCTAGACGAGAGCCTTATCCCCTACACCACCAGATATCTTGACGAGAGTTATATCTTTGTGGTAATAAATTATGAATTCAGCCTGCTACAACGGATATGTAAAATTTATCCTAGAGGCTGCTTATACTTTGAAAATTCATCTCGTTGCAGTTCATCACAGTTGTATAATTCAAGAAGCACTAAGAAATATGGCTACCTTTGAATAATATGATATGAAAAAGTTGGAGTCGGAATACAATAAAAAGCACGAGAAATACATTTTGTATTAAAAACAAAATAAAGGCAGCTTAAATATAGTTTGAAGCATAAGTAAAGGAGTATTTGAAGTACTGTGTGGACGGAAGAGGGAAATCAATCGCAAAATTTATAAAATGAATTTAAAGACCGAGCCAATCGTAACGTTTGAAGCAACCATACATACACGACGAACTGTTCTGCAACCATATATACACGACGTAAATTAGCACCATCTGTAGTGGGCCGAATCGTCAATTTGTAATTTAATGCTCCATAAGAGTGACTGGGCCCTGGTTATTATATAGTTCTTATCACGAAACTTTTCCTCTATACTTTTGTACATTTGGCATCTTGTATGATAATGCTATGACTCAAAGAAAAAAACCTAGGCAATACCTAGGCAGTGTATATAAATGTGTTCTGATGTAATGTTATGTTATAGTCCATAATAAGAATATTTGGATTTTCGAGACATATTAATATTTTATTATCTAATCTAGTTTAAACCTTATTTAACTCTTCTCTGCTGTCTCAGTAATTTTTAGCAAATTCATTTTAGCAACATTTTAAGCAACAACTTAGACTTGGCATTTCAAATTCATTTTAGCAACATTTTAAACAACTTAGACTTGACATTTAGTTCTCAGACTTGGCTTTTAGTCCGTCCCCAATTCAAGCCAAGCATTGATGTCACAAAACACATACACAAATAGATATGTTTTCTCCGTCAACCGCAGAGTTCGCGTCAAATTCGTCTACCTTCTTACAAAGGGGAGCTCGAAAAATATTGCACCGAGGCCCCCAGTTGTCAATCTACGCTACCGTATTCTTAGGATACATTTAGATCGAGACTATTTAAATCTACCTATTGCTATTCATTCTTTTTTTTGCTGCCAGTCAGTCATATTTATTAGTTATTAATAAAAGAATATTGGGTAAAACTATACAGGGTGAGTCTTAAATATGTGCAAACATTTTCAGGGGTGGTATATTTTGACCCCAGAAACACGTCTATGAGTTTTTTTTGCAAAAAAAGATGTTAAAAATCGAGAATTTTCTTTTAAATTTTTCTGTATATTTTAGAAAACTTTTTAGAACTTTCTGTTCACCGCAAATTTTCCCACGGTATAGTTTCTTAATCTCTGATATTACGGCACTAAAAGAGATGCAATTTTTTTTTAATTTCCAAACTTTAATAACTCGCTTGGACTTATTTGAAACTCGATAAAGAAAACATAATATTATGTTTATTTTATTGGGATCTACCAGCCCTGAAAATATTTGCACTTATAGACTCACCTTGTATAACAAAAATTTTCAAACCGAACAAACAGATAATTATTAAAATTATAAGTGTCCCAGAGAAAGACATTTTACAATAGTTATTTTACAAATTGGTGTTTATGTTTAAAAGCAACTGACCATTATACTCTGATGAAAATTGATTAGTTAGTTATGGAGTCACTAAGGATCTTACGTCACTTTAGTTAGAAGATTAACCATTTAATTTTTGCTAATCCAATCTTTTTTGAGCGCTGATCGGGACCGGCCCATCGGCCCATTTTTCCACCGGCCCACCGGGAATTTTCCCGTTTTCCCATATGGCCCATCCACCCCTGCAATTGTATCTCTTGAGTTTAAATATCCTTGGAACTAAACAAATATAAAGCATTTAATTTGAAAAATGAAAACTTGTGTAGAAACTTGTGTAGTGTAAAGTATAGTGTGAAAATATATTTGACTCACCACCAAAGTGAACGCAACGAATTTAATAATAATAATGCCTTTATTTCCAAAAAAAAAGTAAAATAAAATACAGTTAATTATTAATACATTAAAATAGTAAGAAATTATAGAAATTAAATAATTACACCATCAGAATATATATATATGTATACATATAAATAATCAAAACCCAATTTTGGAATGGAGCGAAATTCAGAAGCATAATGCTTCTGCTCTTCCATTTAACTCCGAATGCATCCGAATGAAGTACAAAAAAAATAGGTGAAAATGGTGAAAAACGGTGAAAAAGATTAAAATATGTCATATGAAAAAAGAACAATAAAAAAGTAATAATAATAATAAGCAAAACAAATCAATAAAAAAAAACAGTGAAAAAAACTCAATTTCAAAGAAAAAAAAAGTTTCAGTTAGATAAAGAAAAAAAAAATTTAAATGGGTAAACTTTGTAATATATCTTATTAACAATACAATGCAAAGAGTTTTATAAAAATTCGTTCACAGTAAGTGCATTCCGAGGTTTGTATATCATAAGGGCTTAAAGCACTCCACTATAAGGTTAAATTAAATTTGTCAAAAAAGTGTCAAAACGACCGTTATCGTACGATCAGACGTACGATATTTCTCCGTTGACGGGCTGGAGTAAAAAATTTACGGATAAAAAGTGGTGCGAAAACGCTATAGCCAATCAAAGCGCCATCGGACCATCGTATTAACGGATAACGGACGCATGAAAATCAAGCGTTAGAGGCTATGAGAAATTGTCGAAAATTATTTTCAAGTTTGTAGAACGCCCGCGAGAGGGCACAATTGCTATGGAAAATAAGAAAATGGATGTTTTATAAGATTTGGCCTAGATAAGTGGTATCAGTGGTACTATAAATAATAGCTTCATAATCCTTAGTAAATTTTGATTTTTTTTTGTTAGGAACTATATCTGCTAAAATAAAGTGGTGGGGAAGATTATATCTGTTTTTATTTAAATGTTAATAACTCCGAACTGGATTATCGGAATCCAACAACCTAGGGCTCATTTAAAAGAGCGTTCTCTACTGTATATTATACCATATAAACAACAATATAAGCTTTTGAACGTAGACGCTAAGGGCCGCTGTCTTTATTTTATTTTCACAAACAATGCACGTGTTTTCGAAAAAAGTAAATGCGACAGTATATATAATTTTAACTGATACTAAAGAGCAAAAAAGCTTAAAAAGTCAGCGAAAACCGCATCTTGATATCTTGTTTCAAACCGAAGATATTAGCAAAATTATAATAAATACGAAAAAATAAGCCTTTAATTACCTTATTTTTATAATACTAGCCCTCTCTAAAAAGTTGCTTTTGACGTAATAGCATAAACGTTAAAGTGTTATTAGATCAACATTTTGATAGTCTCAGCAGCGATTTTTATCTTTTGATTGCTGTTTCAAAATGCCTCTATTACTTGAAGAAGCAGTTGATGGCAACTGTTACAAGGCTTTATATTTTTTGCAAGGCTTTATTTTTTTATTTAAATATTTTTGCTGGCATATTTCAAATATTTTTTGGCCCACTGTATAAAATAGACTAACTTAAAAATCATAAAAAAATGAGAATAATAAAATAATTTAATTTTAATAAACATTACTTACGGCAATTTTGTTTTTCGTCGTCTCCTAAAGGGCAGTCCACATTAAAATCGCAAACACTAGTTGCGTTTATACACTCCTTAGCTCCTTTACACTTATACTGGTGCGAAGAACAGCTATCGTCACTTTTCGCAAAGCACCCGTACAACTGAAGATTATCAAATGCCACGGTGGCACCGGGCGTCATATTTTCGGCAGGAACCACCTCCAAAAGAATGGTGAAATTCGTAGTGATCTTCCCTATAGACAAATCATATTTCTGCCACCTAAAAAATTATAAATTTTATAAACTTTTTTCTCACTAAAACCACTCAAAATCGCTTACTTCCTCAAATCGTTACCGTGAATGATATTCACCAACCACTGAGTGTGATTGTTCAGTGAATTCTTCGTGGTATCCGTTGTTTTATCACCTACGATTCTTATTTCACCACCTTGCATGTTTTCTTGGTACACGAACAAATTCAGTTTGCAAGACGAAGTTGTTGGTCCTATCAATGGACTAGTTACGTGGAATTCAGTCGATTTCAGTGGTAAGCGAAGAATTAAGTAGCTCCCTAACGAAAAAAAAATTATTACCAAACGTACATCCCTCGTAAAACAAAAACTTAGAAATAATCTGATGTAAATATAAACTTTAAGATGGCGCCATATGTGCTTTAGCGAAGTATTTATTTTCTAAATATAGACGAATAAATAAAGACGTAATATAATGAAATACTGACGAAATTGTTTGTATTTAATGGAAATTTCAATAAACCGATATAGTTTGTTGCATAAATAATTGGCAATTTTTCAATGAAAAAGCAATTTTCAAATCAGCGCTCCAAACGGGAGATTTTGACAACTCAAAATTTATTGATTTTTAAATTCTGTCGGGTGTCGGGGTGTCGGACATTCCATTGTATTTTGCATTAAAAAGTTGTAAAATCAGTGATTATTATATACAAATTTTTAGTAAATGATCTTTTTACGCGTTGTCTCACGTAAATACAGGATAATTTCGCCTAATCAAATCGAATATCGAGGTAAATAATTTGTAAACACATTTCTAACCTCAAAAAAACATCAACAACCGAAAAAATGCTGCCCAAAATAAATTTAAAGTAAGTACATTCTTAATTTACACGTTTTATAGATCTAAAACTGTATTTTATTGCAGAGAGTTGACCACTACCGGCACCACTTTTCATATAGACCCAGTTGCTGATATAATGGAAGACGATTCTGATGATGAAGTTTCAAAAGATGCTTACGAGACCGAGATGCTGAAACACGCCAAGATGGAGTGCATGGGCGAGTTTGAGGATGAGGACGTTTACGATCCTACAGAGCCCTTCGAAACTTTCTCGTCGAAAATGACCAATTTGATAGAAAACGGTGACATAAAGAAGAGGGTTTTAAGAGAAGGGTATGGTGACAAACCTGAAGACAAGAGTATTGTAAAGGTTCACTATAACGCGTATACTGAACACAATGCCGAACCCTTTGACTGTACTTATGGGAGAAAAAAGCCTCATATTTTTACTTTGGGACAAGGGGAGGTGATTCCTGGCCTGGACATAGCCGTGGCTTCCATGAAAATCAACGAAAAGTCTCAATTTCTTGTCAAGCCTGCTTATGCGTATGGGGAGTTCGGTTGTATGGACCGTATCCCTCCAAATTCCTCTGTCTTGTTCGAGATAGAACTTATAGAAATTATTGAGAGTTCCGCGGCGGAGCATTACGAAAACCTGCCCCAAGAAAAGAGGACAGAATTTTCCGAAGTCTACAAATACTGTATGTCTCAGTGTGCTAAAGGTAAGTCATTATTACTTATTAACAGATAAACTGTAGAAACATACAGGGTGGCCCATTGTTGACAAAGAGGTGAAAAAAAGTTTTATACAGATGATACATGGTTTATAATGGGTACATAATATCCTAAAATATTTTGTTGTATACAGGGTATCACAAAAAAAAGTTATGATAAAGTTTTTATTTTTTTTTTAAATTACATCTCCTTTGATCTGTACAGAGTGTCCCACTAAGAATAGCTCTCGGCTGTATCTCGGAAAGTATTAGCCGTAGGGCCTGTGGAAAAAAATATTAATAACTAAAGAGACCATGAGAAATTGCTGGAAATTGTTTTCAAGTTTGTAGAACGGCCGCTAGAGAGCGCAATTGCTATGGAAAATAAGAAAATAGAATTTTTATGAAATTTTGACTAGATAAGGTGTACTACAAAATAGATTCACAATAATTCTATATATTTGGTATTCTCGTATATTGTTGATTTTAGAATAAACTAACAATTTCTATCTTATTTTTTATTTGAATGGTCATAATCAAGAGGGCTACTGTAACCATGTTATAAAAATAAGGTAGTTAAGGGCTTATTTTTACCTATTTATTATAATTTTGCTAACTTTGGTTTGAAAAAGATATCAAGATGCAGTTTTCGCTGACTTTTTAAGTTTTTATTGTTCTTTACTATCTACTACTTAAAATTACATATACTATCGCATTTAATTTTTTTGAAAAAACTGGTAATGTTTGTTAAATTGTCAGACAGCGCCCCCTAGCGTCTACGTTGAAAAGCTTATTATTGTTGTTTATATCTTATAATATAGAGCAAGAAATGCTTTTTTAAACGAGCTCTTGTTTGTTGAATTCTTTTCATCCAATCCGGAGTTATTAATATTTAAATACCAACAGATGTAAAAAATGGTTCCAACAAAAAATATTCAAAATTTACTGAAGATTATGAAGCTATTATTTATAGTACCCCTTATTTAGTCGAAATTGTGTAAAAAGTCCATTTACTTATTTTTTATAGCAGTTTCACCCTCTAGCGGCCGTTCTACAAACTTAAATATAATTTCTCATGGCCTCTTTAGTTATAAATATTTTTTCCACAAGCCCTACGGCTAATACTTTCCGATATACAGTCGTTTAAAATCCATGAAGTTAATATAACCCTAATTATTTCAGCTAAAGACCTCTTCGGTCGTAGCATAATATCTGCTATAAAACAGTACAACATGGCCGTGTCGGCACTAGAAAACGCAGTCCTATCCGAGTACGAAGACCAAGTCAAGCAACAGGAACTCTTATACAAGCTCTATTCTAATTTACTCGTGTGCTACACGAAAGTAGAAGAGCCGAAGAAAGCCTGTATCAACTTTAACAAGATCAATCAAATGGTGCAAGGCAGCGACATGAAAATCTCGGCTAAAGCTTACTACAACAATGCCAAATGCTTGAGAATGTTGGGTGACTACAGTCTGGCCAAGAGAAGGCTCCAGTGCGCCTATAAATTGAACCCCAAGAACCCGGAAATTTTGCAGGAATTCAAGATTATCGACGAGAAACAGAGAATTTATAAAGAGAAGGAACAGATAATGGCCAGTGCTTTTATAAATAGTAAGAATAAAGAAACAAAGTAAGTTTCTTAAGTTAGACCAGTTTATTTTTATCGTAGTTGCTTCTTAAATATATTTTTATAATCATCAAACTAAATGATTATTATTATAAGTGAATTTGTGATGTTTATATAAAAAGAAATTTTTTAATTATTATAGGAAACTTAAATTGGTGTAATATCTGGAAAAAAAATTAAATTTTAAAATTTTACTATTTTTTTGACATTCAAAGTATTGAATCTCTAAAGTATCTAGTATATCTGGGATGGAACTCTGTAACTAAATAACAATCGGTAGCGATGATGAATACTGTCGCTTGCCGTGTAGTTTCTATGGCCAAGATCAGTATTCTTCATCGCTACCGATTGCTATTTAGTTACAGAGTTCCACCCCTAACGTTTTAGGACCATAAATATATACAGGGTGATCCGAACTGTATTCCGGAAACTTCGGCAACACATTCTGCAGATAAAAATAAGTAAAAAAGTTCCTATAAAGGTATGTCCTAAAATGCTTAGTTTTGGAGATACAGGGTGTAAAAGTTTCATTTTTATTTTGATTTTTTTCAAATAATTTCTGAAGTAAAGTCAATATTTGGATGAAAATTGGTGCCTGGTAGTTTTTTTGACATCAGAAATTTGATTTTGATGTCAATATGACTCCTACTTGTAGAGGGCGCCACCTACGTGTGTTTTAACTATTTTGAAGAGTAATAACTTTTCGTCCGTACCTGTATGAAACTACTGAGTCAAAAAATATAAATTTTCGTGACTTTTTACGTAAAAAATATCTTGGTAAAAATCGCTATGAGCAACCGTTCTCAAGATATTTCGAATGGAAATAGTCAATACCTGTCATTATTGACATAAAAATAAACACGTTGAGTAGATAGTTATTTGACTGAAATAATAAATTTAGGAATTTTTTTTAATTAATCATAATTTTTTCTGCGGAAAAATGATGATAAAACAATTTGTGTTGAACTTTTGACACAAAAACATTTCAAATTTATGATTTCAGTCTAAGAACTATTTAGTCAACATGTTTAATTTATGTCAATGATGACAGGTATTGATAATTTCGATTCCAAATATCTCGAGAACCATTACTCGTAGCGACTTTTACCAAGAGACCTTTATTACGTAAAAATCATCGTAATTTCTTACTCAGTAGTTTTATACAGGTACGGACGAAAAGTTATTACTCTGCAAAACAGTTAGAATACATGTACGTAGCGCCCCCTACAAATAGGAGTCATATTGACATCAAAATCAAATTTCTCATATCAAAAAACTCCCAGACACCAATTTTTATCCAAATATTGACGTTACTTAAAAAATTATTTGGAAAAAATCGAAATAAAAATGAAACTTCTACACCCTGTATCTCCGAAACTAAACATTTTTGGACATACATTTATACGAATTTTTTTACTTATTTTTATCTGCAGAATATGCTGCAAAAGTTTAATTCGGACCACCCTGTATATCTCAATTAATAGTAAGTTTAGTAAAATATTTTGGATTGATAGTTACAAAAATATATTTGCAACTTTTGTGCCAAAATATTAAATAAGTTAAATATATTGTTCTAAATATACATAATATTAAGTGTTGTCTTTATCTATAAGAATATTACGATTATTTTTGATTCAACTGGATTTTACAGGAAGGACATGAAACAATACTTAAGTTGATTTTTTTCTTTTTTTTTCATATGAAAAAATATAACCGAGAGTTATGTTTTATGTTTAGTTTTTCTTTGTTATTTTTATATGTCTATAGGTTTAGTTTAGTATACAAATATTTTTTTTTTATTTTTAATCAAGATTGACTTTGTTACTCATTCTGTTAGGCTTTAGCTATGTTTATAAATAAAGCTTTGAAATTATAGAAATTTTGTTATTATTAACCTAATTTCAATACCTGTATGGGACAAAACAAAAGCTCTTAATATCAAAATGTAGTTCTTCTCGTATAAAGAAAAAAACTGATTTATGTAAAAATACAAGACAAAAAGTCATTAGGAAACTGATTAAAATTTACTGTTGTGTTTAGATAATCTGTCAAACATTTTAAATACAAAAATATTAATTTTTTAATTCAGTAAAAAAATCAAGAAAAAATATTAAAATTTTAAGAAATTTAATATTATATTTTGAACACCCTGTGCAATTCTGACTACAATATATGAAGTAAGTACAGACAACCGTTAATAAAGAATTTCCATAGTTTTGTTTTTGTGATCTTATTTTTATGCACTTTTAAATATTTTTTATTAAAAATGGTGCAGAAATACAGGGTGGCGCACCTCATTCGCCTCGGTTGATTATACGAAAACGGAAAGATGTAGAAACAATTTTTTTTGTGGGTATCTGTAGAGAGGCAATGTGCATAATTTAAAATTATTTTCAAATGTACAGGGTGTGTCAGAACTAAGATCCATACCAAAGTTATATTTTTTCTTATGGAACACCCGGTATTTTATTTCATTTTTGGATTCTTGGACATAAAATAAGGCATTTACTATAAGGGTTTAATATGTTTAATGCTTTGGTTTTTGAGATATTTAATTATGCATGCTATAATAAAAAGGTTTGTCAACACCCTGTACATTACTTTTCAGAGTTAATTCTTGGGCTGATTTTGAAGCCAGAGAAATAAACTTTACTAAAAAATTTGATTGCTTTTTTAAATGTATACAGGGGTATCAAAAATTGCTGGGCTATTTTAAATATTTATTTTACATAAAAACTTCGTTATTTCAATGCAACACTATGTATTTTTTAAAATAAGTCGAAGCAGATTGAAATGCTCTTTCAAACTATATTAGGGTTTCCTATACCTATCTGGCTCAGATTTTGAATAAAAAGCGATTTTTGAATAAAATGGTAATCAAGATGGCTGGTGTTGCCATGGCAATTTGCTAGTGACAGTTTGGTTTATTTTAAAAATCCACATTAGTTTATGAACTTTATTTAAATTTATTACAGTTTACTTTTATTTAATTTACCTACAATAGTTTAATAAGTAAGTATTTATTATTTTATCAATAAAAATAAAGTAGTTCTGTGATTTATACGAGTATTACGATGACTTGTAGATATATTGGATTTTCTATAGAAGAACCGATTAAGGCAAATTCATTTTCTTCAATTCCAATGACAGGTTTCTGCCTAATAGGTTTTTCATATACCACACTATCAGCTCCGTTAAATAGGAAAAGTAGTTTTTCAAAGGAACGCTTGTCAAAAAAAATCCTATTTGGATATCTTTGAGCATAAACCCTTCAGCAGCCAACAAGCAATTGTCTTCACAAAATAAAATTACTAATAACATCCATTCCTTCCGCCAGCAGATACTGCTTCATTTTTCTTGATAAAATAATAAATACTTATTTATTAATCTTATTATAGCTAAATTAAATAAAAATAACCTGCTATAAATTTAAATAAAGTCCATAAATTTATGTCAAATTTGAAAATAGCTACCAAGTGTCACTAGAAAATTACCATGGCGACACCAGCCATCTTGATTACTATTTTTATTGAAAAATCGGTTTTTATTCAAAGTATGAGCCAGATAGGTATAGGAAACTCTAATATAGTTTGAAAGAGCATTTAAATCTGCTTCGATTTATTTAAAAAAATACAGGGTGTTGCATTTGAAATAACGCAGTTTTTAAGGAAAATAAACATTTAAAATAGACCACCAATTTTTGATACCCCTGTATACATTTAAGGAAGCAATCAATTTTTTTAGTAAAGTCTACTCCTCTGGCTTGAAAGTCAGCAGAAAAATTAATTCCGAAAAGTAATGTACAAGGCGTTGACAAACTCTTTTATTATAGCATGCATAATTAAATACCTTTAAATATTTTAAAAACCAAAGCTTTTAAACATATTAAACCCTTATAATAAATGCCTTATTTTATGTCCAAGAATCCAAAAATGAAATAAAATACTGGGTGTGTTGCATAAGAAAAAATATAACTTTGATATGGATCTTAGTTCTGACAAACCCTGTACATTTGAAAATAATTTTAAATTGTGCACAGTACCTCTCTACATATAGTCATAAAATATTTTGTTTCTACATCTTTCCGTTTTCGTATAATCAACCGAGGCGAATGAGGTGCGCCACCCTGTATATATTTATTTTTTCTCTGAAATTATTAAAACTAATATAATAAAAACGTAGGATTATGTAAAGTGATAAAAAAAGAACTCAAAAATATAATAATATGCAAGGTGTGCTCAATTTCAAAAATCCATATGTAGGTATATTTTTTTGAGACACCCGGCGTGTTATTCACAATATTAATATCAATAAGAAATTGAACTAACGAAGAAAAAAAGCTGGTTCAAATAATATCCCACGAAAAGAAAATGAACTGGAAAAATAGTATTGAAAGAAACTGAGAAACATCTGATAGTTTACCTGACCTTTCCAGTTCTATTCTGAACAAAAATAATATACAGAGTGGTCCGAATTGTATTCAGAAAACTTCAATAGTTTAGTCTACATCATATAAAACTAACTAAAAAAGTTCGTATAAATTTATGTCCTTAAATGGTTCGTTTCGGAGATACAGGGTGGGGAAGTTTCATTTTTATTTCGAATTTTTATTAATAATTTCTGAACTAATATCAATACTTTTGCCATGATAAATTTGATTTGTATGTCAATATGACTTCTTCTTGTGGGGGGCGCCATCTACCATGTTTTTAACAGTTTTGAAGAGTAATAACTTTTCGTCCGTGCCTGTATTAAACTACTGAGTGAAAAATATAAATTTCTGCCGTTTTTCTACTTAAAACAGGTCTCTAGGTAAAAATCGTTATGAGCAACCGACGGAGAAATAAGAGAGTGGAGAAACTACGCTACTACACGTATTTCTGTAGAATAAAAATGGTATCAGTTTCATTGTTTGAGCGGGGCAAAAGGAGACCACTTGATCAGGACCGGATTAGATAAAACCTCAAATAATAAAAGCAAACAATGATTAAAATTTGTCTTGAGCTAATGCAATATAATTGTGTAATATTAATCGTGTGTATCGCAATGAACAAATTACTTGGCATTACTACACCAAACTTAAAACAGACAGCAAATACTAATGCTCGTTCGTTAATTCAGTCATTACGGACCTGTCCATGTTTACATTACCTGGGAAATGGTACTCCGGTGAGTTTCTTCGAGTCGATACCTTTCTTGCTCCTACAACTGCGTACAGCACACGACATCATGGTTTTTAAAGTTTTTGTAATAGAAAACACTCAAATTATCGATGAAAAACATTAAATTTTGGGAAAAATTCACAAATAACAAAAGGAGACAACAATCAAATATGGCTAGCGGCTGGCTGATACCGTTTTCGCAATAGCTCTAGCGCCTCCCATCTGTTATTCCCCCGTGGAGCAACCATTCTCAAGATATTTGGAATGGAAATAGTCAATACATGTCATTATTGATAAGAAAATAAATATGTTGACTAGATAGTTATTTGACTGAAATGATACATTTGGGAATTTTTTAATTTTTTAAGCTAAACATGAATTTTTCTAGAAAAAAATTATAATAACACAGTTTCTGTTGGTCCTTTGGCACAAAAACATTTCCAGATTTATTATTTCTAACAACTATCTAGTCAACATGTTTAATTTTTGTCAATGATAACATTGTAGTATTGATTATTTTGACTCCAAATATCTTGAGAACTATTACTGGTAGCGATTCTAACCAAGAGACTTTTTTACGTAAAAAACGTCGGAAATGTCTATTTTTCACTCAGTAGTTTAATATAGGTGTGGAGGAAAAGTTGTTACTATGTTGTTACTCTTCAAATCAGTTGAAAAATATCTTGCTGGTAATTTCAGTATTAGGTGGTAATAAATACATATTCAAAAAATAAATGTTTTTGAAAGTTGAAACGTATATTTTTTGAATGATGGTCGGAAAGTGATGTAGATTATATAATTAAAATAAATTAATTGTATTTTCAGGGTGTTTGTCGAAATAAGTCACTAATATAGTGGATGTTCCTAAACGATATGCTAGTATTTAGGAGATGATTCTTAGACCCATTTTAAGAAAAAAACTTCATATGAATGTATGTCTCAAACGTCATAACTTTTAAGATACAGGGTGGTAAAATTTTCCGAAAAGAATATAAAAATTAAAATAAAAAAAATAATATTTTAGGTCGTCCTCGCATTTTACCACATAGATTGTGTTGAAAACATATGTCAAGACATGAGTATTTTGCTCTTCAAAGGGACTGCCTTCGTACCAAACAGATTTGGTATAGATAAATAGAATTTTGTCTCTAAAGACAGAATGAAGAATATAGATAGATAATAGAATGTCTCTAAAACATAAATTTTGAAGTTCTTGATACTTCTTGGCAGCCAATATTAGAATGACTCTTTAGATGAATGGCTTACTCGTTACGTTAATAAAAACGTCTTTTGAAAATAAATATGAATAAGTCCTGTATTTGGTAAGTAACAAAATCCAGTCATGCGAAAGAAAAATATTTTTTTACGAAACATTTAAAAGAAATCCTTTTTTCTATTTTACACGGGACGTAAATATGTTATGAAATTATCCAAAAATGCTTAAAAACACCAACTTAGTCTCAAAAATCGCTGTCTAGTTATGCAAATTACAACTTTGAAAATTCCAAGATAAGCGTCACAAAACCAATAAAGTAAACAATCTAAGAACAAATCAACCTTGACGTTGCGCCTAAGCAACCTATGTTGAGATAAAAAAAAATATTGTTGTTTAATCATGTCTCTGGTTTATTGACAATGAAATACAACATTAATCGTAGGTTTTTTGATACCTTATTTTTTCGATTTATTAAGTCCTAAAAAAATTAAAATGACCTCTGTGCGCCCCCTACAAGTAGATCTCATATTGATATCGAAATCAAATTCATCATGTCAAAACAACCCCCAGACACCAATATTTCTTCCAAATATCGCCATAATTTAAAAAATTATTTGAAAAAATGGAAATACAAATGAAACTTCTACACCCTGTATTTTCGAAACTAAGCATTTTAGGGCAAAAATTTATACGGACTTTTTTTGCTTATTTTTATCTGCAGAATATGGTGCAGTAATTTCCCGAACACAATTCGGACCACCATGTTTAGATTTTCCGTCAGGTCTGATGATGTCAATAGATATATTTATGATTGCTTACCGAATTGCCTAGCGTTGGCATCTTGCCTAGGCCCGATATCGCCATCTTTCATCTTGCCACCGGACGTTATAAAGAATCCATTGGCTATATCTTTCCTCCACGTCCATTTGCAGTCGTTGTCAAAATTACAATTGTACTCGGAGACGTAGTGTTTGTCGTTGGAGAACTGGACCCACAGCTCCTTGAACGGATTGTTGTCCTTATTGTAATCCTATAAAATTGTAGAAAGCAAGGAATGTATCTAACATTCAGATGCTAATTAATTCAGATGCAAAAAACACGCAAGGGTGAAATGTATCGTCAAATTTAACGTGTTATAATTACCGGACTTATACAACTTACAGATATACCGGGTGCGTCTCAAAAGCAGCTCACCCTTATAACTTTTTTATTTTTTCAGTGAAAAAACGAGATTTGGTATGTTAGTATATGACATAAATTAGGATTGATTGACGTATTGAATTCTTTTCGACCACTTCCTGTTTCCCCGGAAATGACTACAACTTTTGATTTTTAAATCGCACGCACCCTAGGCATTTTTTTAGTTTATTCTATAGAAAATGACACTCTGATTATAATGACGTATGTCCACTTTGACATTTTTGCTTAAAACAAAATTGTATTTTAAATTTCAATCTACAGTGCTATGGCTGTGTTAAAAACACTAATTTTTAATCAAGGAGCCTTGGAAAAATAGTTTTGATCGTCTAATGTTATTAGTGTCTTGTCCTGGCCGGTTAAAAGATATCTAAATCGTATTTTTAATCATATCTCAATTTTTTCAAATGGAACGAGGGTGGCTCATTGGCATATTTGAAAAAGGCATTTTATTTTAATAATAATCTGGTACCACATTAGGTATTTCGAGTCAAATTGTCGTTATGAATTGCATGTTGCAATTTCAAATAAACGATATTCGAAAATGTCAAAAGTTGACATATGATATGTCATTCTATTCAGAGCGTCATTTTCTATCAAATAAAGTAACAAAATACCGAGGGTGCCATTTAAAAAAAAGGTGTAGTCATTTCCGGTGAAACAGGAAGTGACCGAAAACAATTGAATACGTCAATCGATCCTAATTTATGTTATATACTAACATATCAAATGTCGATTTTTTATCTGACAAAATAAAAAAGTTCTACAACTCGAAATAAAATGATTTTAGTATGTCTTACTTGTTCTGAATTGTAATCGCTAATATCCGAATAGTTTCTCCTAGATAGGTTGGTTCTGCTTGCTTCATCAGCCGTCATCAAATTCGACTGTTTCTCCATTTCTTTCTCCTTCTTCAGTCTGGCTGCTAAATCAGCAATGCTTCTTCCGCCTCCCTTTTTAAACCTGCAAGAAATATTAATATTTTTAAAGGTGTAGAAAACTACGAAAGCGTTGAGCTGTCATACAAACGTGGAAAAAGATTTTTAGCAAAATTAACAGTTTTTCTGTAAATTTAAACTTTTTCTGTAAAGTTACACTTTCTTCTGTAAATGTTTCTATAAATTTACACTTTTTCTGTAAACAACTTAATTTATTTCGAAGAAATATTTACACAGACATTTATATTCTGGTACAATTTTTGGAAGTACAAATTTTGACACGGTCAGCTACACGGCTACGGCTGGATGCACTTTAAGTGCCTTCAGAATGGATTTGTTGTGAATCAAAAAACAGTCGGAGAACTGTTACGCATTTTGGAGAGATCCTGATGGAGTTACTTTACGTCAGCGACGTTGTCTACGAAAGCGACAATACTACAACGAAGAACTCAATTTTTATGGCATATCGATTATTACGACAAATTTAAGCCATTAGGGATGTATATAGACGATATTGCATAGGCGAGAATTTGCTGCATAGACGGATTTTTACGTTACATTATCTGGTTAAAAGCTGGTCCAAATACCAACGATCCGTTGATAATAATTGTGTAAATTTACAGAAAAAGTGTAAATTTACAGAAAAAAGTGTAAACTTACAGAAATAGTATAACCTAAACAAAAAAAGTGTAAATTTACAGAAAAAGTTTAAGTATACAGAAAAAGTGTAAATTCACAGAACAAGTGTAAACTTACAGAAAAAGTGTAATTTGCAGAAAAGTGTAAACTTACAGAAAAAGTGTAAACTTCCAGAAAAGGTGTAAATTTATAGAAAGTCAAAATTTACAGAAAACTTGTAAATTCACAGAGAAAGTGTAACCTTACAGAAAAAGTGTAAACTTAAAGAAAATGTGTAAATTCACAGAAAAATTTTAAATTTACAGAAAAGTGTAAATTCACAGAAAAAGTGTAAATTTACAGGAAAAGTGTAGACTCACAGAAAATGTGTAAACTTACAGAAAAATGTAAATTTACAGAAAATGTGTAAATTCACAGAAAAAGGGGAAATTTACAGAAAAGTGTAAACTTACGGAAAAAGTGTAAATTTACAGAAAAAGTCTATATTTACAGAAAACTTGTAAATTCACTGAAAAGGTGTAAATTTACAGAAAAAGTGTAAATTTACAGGAAAGTGTAAATTTACAGAAAATGTGTAAATTCACAGAAAAAGTGTAAATTTATAGAAAAGTGTAAATTCACAGAAAAAGTGTAAACTTACAGAAAAGTGTAAATTTACAGAAAATGTGTATATTCACAGCAAAAGTGTAAATTTACAGAAAAGTTTTTTTTTCTAAAAATATTTTTCAATGTCGCGATGGCAGCTCTACGCTTTTGTAAAAAACTGTGTTAAGCGACATTAGACGAGATGAGATTTTGGACGATTTAACAGTTTGAAAAATATGTGGTGCTGTTGTTTGAAGGAAAAAAAATGTAAAATGAATTCAAGTGACTTGATCAGCTTAATTATTCGTGAGAACGCACCTTTATAGTTATTTTAGTATACCTATCTAAGGCGGCTAATTACACCATAAAATTTCTTTGTCAAAGATTTTATTCAAAATATATCTTATGAAGAATTTGATAACACTATCAAATTTTTCATAAAATATCTTTTATAAAAGATCTTTGACAAAAAAAATTATCTGGTTAAAAGCTGGTCCAAATACCAACGATCATTGATAAAGAATCGTGTAAAGATTTAAGAAATGTAAAATTTACAGAAAAAAGTGTAAACTTACAGAAATAGTATAACCTAAACCAAGAAAAAGTGTTAAATTTAACAGAAAAAGTTTAAAAGTATACAGAAAAGTGTAAAATTACAGAAAAAAAAAAAAAACTTTACAGAAAAATGTGTAATTTACAGAAAAAATGTAAATTTAGAATTGGCAGAAAAAGTGTAAACTTCCAGAAAGGGGTAAATTTACAGAAAAGTGCAGAATTCTATACAGAAAACTTGTAAATTCACAGAGAAAGTGTAACCTTAACGAAAAGTGTAAACTTAAAGAAAATGTGTAAATTCACAGAAAAATTTTAAATTTACAGAAAAGTGTAAATTCAAAGAAAAAAGTCTAAATTTACAGGAAAAGTGTAGACTCACAGAAAAAGTGTAAACTTACAGAAAAATGTAAAATCTTAGCAGAAAATGTGTAAATTCACAGAAAAAAATTACAAAATATAATACGAAATATAAAAAATGGATTAAGAAGAAAAAGTGTAAATTTACAGAAAAAGTCTATATTTACAGAAAACTTGTAAAATCACTGAAAAAGTGTAAATTTACAGAAAAAGTCTAAATTCACAGAAAGTGTAAATTTGCAGAAAAAAGTCTAAATTTACAGAAAAAGTGTAAATTTACAGAAAAAGTGTAAACTTACAGAAAAAAGTGTAAACTTACAGAAAAGTGTAAATTTACAGAAAAAGTCTATATTTACAGAAAACTTGTAAATTCACTGAAAAAGTGTAAATTTACAGAAAAAGTCTAAATTCACAGAAAGTGTAAATTTGCAGAAAAAAGTCTAAATTTACAGAAAAAGTGTAAATTTACAGAAAAAGTGTAAACTTACGGAAAAAGTGTAAACTTAAAGAAAATATGTAAATTCACAGAAAAAGTGTAAATTTATAGAAAAGTGTAAATTCACAGAAAAAGTGTAAATTTACAGGAAAGTGTAAATTTACAGAAAATGTGTAAATTCACAGAGAAAGTGTAAATTTATAGAAAAGTGTAAATTCACAGAAAAAGTGTAAACTTACAGAAAAGTGTAAATTTACAGAAAAAGTCTATATTTACAGAAAACTTGTAAATTCACTGAAAAAGTGTAAATTTACAGAAAAAGTGTAAATTCACAGAAAGTGTAAATTTGCAGAAAAAAGTCTAAATTTACAGAAAAAGTGTAAATTTACAGAAAAAGTGTAAACTTACAGAAAAAGTGTAAACTTAAAGAAAATGTGCAAATTCACAGAAAAAGTGTAAATTTATAGAAAAGTGTAAATTCACAGAAAAAGTGTAAATTTACAGGAAAGTGTAAATTTACAGGAAATGTGTAAATTCGCAGAAAAAGTGTAAATTTATAGAAAAGTGTAAATTCACAGAAAAAGTGTAAACTTACAGAAAAGTGTAAATTTACAGAAAATGTGTATATTCACAGCAAAAGTGTAAATTTACAGAAAAGTTTTTTTTCATAAAAATATTTTTCAATGTTGCGATGGCAGCTCTACGCTTTTGTAAAAAACTGTGTTAAGCGACATTAGACGAGATGAGATTTTGGACGATTTAACAGTTTGAAAAATATGTGGTGCTGTTGTTTGAAGGAAAAAAAATGTAAAATGAATTCAAGTGACTTGATCAGCTTAATTATTGGTGAGAACGCACCTTTATAGGTATTTTAGTATACCTATCTAAGGCGGCTAATTACACCATAAAATTTCTTTGTCAAAGATTTTATTCAAAATATATCTTATGAAGAATTTGATAACACTATCAAATTTTTCATAAAATATCTTTTATAAAAGATCTTTGACAAAAGAATTTGATGGTGTAATAATAGCCTACTAAAACAACTGAAAATATTACCTACCTAAAGAATCGATCAACTTCATCAGTTAACCGAATACGAGTATTGCTATCCGATGGACGTTTGACATTATCTAAATCTAAGGAGGTAGTGGCATTGTCCTGCAGGACGTCCTGACAGGAACCGGGGTTTACCAGCGCGTAAAACAACAGGAATAACAGCTGGAGATGTCTCCACATGGTCGTGGACATGTTACAGGCTGTCGAAGGCTGTTATTCGCTCAAAAGCGTCGAATAGAAGAAGATTTAGTTAACATCTTGTAGTTGGAGTGGTTGTGGAACCCTGTAGAAATGGTATCTTGTCTGAAAAAGAAATTAAGTTGTTAGTTAAAATCTTAAAAATAAAGATACTTCTAAAAAGGCTTAATTTTTTTACTGGCTTACTAAAAGCTTGAATACACTTAATATTGTATAAATACACTAAGGACAGCTTTGCTTCTAAAAAGGACACCGCATAAAACCGATTAATCTTTTCTCAGTCAAAGGAAGCCATGATCGAATGAATTAATTGTCAAGCATCCTGTGACGTCAATAAGGATTATAAGACGCATACAAGGCAAACATATTAGAAATGAATTGAGTGAATTGGCTTCCTGGGCTTTATATTTCTAAAACCATAAATATAAAATATTTCAGATGACCGAAAGGTTTCAGACAGCAGAGGAATAAGGAAGTCGAGAGCTCTATATTAAAATAAATTTCGTGGCTAACTTGAACAAAGTTTATCGCCCTTTTAATATGGCCATTTCTATTTGTTAATTTCAAATGCAAAGCACTAAATAAGAATCAAACTTTTTTAATAAATAAAAAAAATTGTGAATGTACACACACCGGAAAAATCTAGGGATATCATTTCATTAAAGTTAAAAATAAATGTTTTGAATAAATAACCACATATTTGTAGGCCGATTCTTTCTACTTCGATTGAAACGAAGTAGTCACACTAGTTATTTCTAAATTTGGGATATTTGCAGAAGTGTTTGTGCATTTTTTATCAAATGTATAAAAAGCACCAAGCATCAATTGTTCGAATTTAACCTGTACTGGCTATGTTTTTATGATAACTGACCAGAATTCATTCAAATAACTCTGTTTAGTATTAAACGACATTATGGAGCGTAGACATCTTAACAGAGACGAAATGTTAAGAGCCATGGGTATGCTCGAAGTTGGAATGCGCCAAATCGACGTAGCTAGAGCATTAAATACAACGCAAAGTGTAATATCGCGATTAAGTGCACGCTACCGTGAAAGTGGTGATGTTGCTGAAAGGCACACAATGGGACATCGCATTACTACCCCTCAGCAAGATCATTTTTTACAATTAAATGCTCGACGCCGACCGACTCTTACAGCACCAGAGCTTAGTTTAATTCTCCAGGAAACACATAATGTAACCGTTAGTCCTGACACTGTTCGCAATAGATTAAGAGAGGTCAACTTAAGAAGCAGACGCCCCTGGAGAGCTGAACCCTTAACGAGAGGAAATCGAGAGGTACGATATTTGTGGGCTCAAGATCATGTTCAGTGGTCGAATGAACAATGGGCCAATGGGCCAAAATTCTCTTCACGGATGAGGCACGCTTTGGAATTCATCCGGATTCGAGAAGGCTTAGGGTATGGAGAGAACCGGGAAATCTTATTCGGTTGGATCATGTTCAGGAAGTGCAGTTAGGCCGAAAAACCGATCTCGTTTTTCTTGAAAGGTTTCTAACATGAATCACATATCGTGATTTAATTTTTGAGCTTGTCGTGTTACCATATGCCAATGATTTTGGGAGAAACTTCATTCTCATGCATGACAATGCACGGCCTCATACAGCCAGAGTGGTAAGTGCGTTTATCAATGCTCATCAATTAAACATCTTACCCTGACCGGCACAATCTCCTGACCTCAACCCCATCGAGCACGTATGGGACGCGGTCCAAAGAAGAATTTTGAGAATGGGTATGCCTCGTGAAACTCGTAGGGATCTGGTTCGGGCCGTGAATGCAGCGTGGCAGGCTGTACCTCAAGAAGAGATCGACAACCTGATCAGGATCATGGAGAGACGATGTAGGGCTGTAATGAACAGTAGAGGAGGCCATACCCTTTATTAAGTAAAAATGGGGTTATCTTTTTTTTTTAATTCACAGTTTAGAATAAAAAAAAAATGTGTGTATTTTTTTGAGTTCAATAAAAATCAAGATAAATTTAAAAAATTCGGCAAATTTCGCATTTTTATTTCCAATACGTCCTGTAAACTATTTGTTTATTTTAATTTTATTATATCAGAAATGCAAATAATAAAATTACTGACGATGGATAAAATTGTAATATCCCTCGACTTTTCCGGTGTGTGTATTTGAAAAATTACATATATTCGATACCAATCAAAGTTTAAGTTACGTAATCGAGGGCGCGATTTTTAAATTCATTGTTGCCAACCATAGACATACTCGGCGCCTGCCTGACTAACTGGAATTTAAATTTCCCACTGGGGACTCAGGTGGTAGCCCTGCTGTAAAAAATGTCAAGTTGCCACATTTATTTATTTATTTTCTGACATTGTCATTCGTTTGGGCACTTTAGTTTTGTATTACGAAATTACGAGTTTTTGGTTTAAATGAATTGTGTTGTGATATTTTAAGCTTAAAAAGTTTTACTAGCAGACTTTGCAGTCAAACATTGTTCTTTTTAGAACCTCCTTTAGTGCGAAGTGGTACAATATGTATCGCTTAATAGCTGTAAAAAACTCTTCGCAACTTTATTAGAATATTTTGAACGGAAAAGCGGTAGTAAGGGCCCTTTATGTCCCTTAAGTGTTGTTAAGAAGGTAAGTTTTATTTATGTAAATAATAACAGTTTTTTTTTGAAAATTGGTTCTTGGGGTTATGGTCCGTATATAAATTTGTTTATTTTTTTATTTTGTAGTGAAACACATTATCAAAGTTTACGTTTCGATCTATATTAGATCATCTTTATCAAAACTTGTTCTACAAAGTAAAATACATCACTAGTAAACATCAAAAAATAGAAAGATTTAAAATTTACATTATAAACTTGAACGTCATAAAAACAACTTATATACTTACATTTTAACACAGCACCTACTAATACATCTATTCAATATTAAACAAACACATAGACTGACACACTAATATATTTCTTTGGTTGCTCGACTGCATTTTTTTGTTCTCCCTGTGAACCGCTATTGATATGGATATGAAACAATCGATAGTTCCTTTTTTTGTAAAAAATGTATTAATTTTGGTTCACATAAATTAATTAATCAAATTATAGTATATTTTGCTGAAATTTTGCGTATCAGATTTTGTGTTTATGGTATTGTTATTTTTTTGTATATATATCATTTCTAAAAATTCTCTTTTTCTTGTATGATTTTCGGTTGCCAAATAATAACAGTTTATATATTTATAATTAATTTATTTTTGTTTCCTAAAATATTTTGAATAAATGAAAATATGTAAAAAAGTGGGCAACGCTGTGTCAGTCAAGCTTAATCACGTGACTAAAAGTTTATTTGATATGAACTATATAAGGGTTAAAAAAATGCAGCTTATGTCAAAATTTGACAGTCCTTATGGGGTTTCGGTATTTTGAATATTAAAATATGACGTTTCAAATAAACCTCTTAAACTCTCATAATTTAAACATTTTTTCATCAGAAACAATGGCGCTACCGACAGATATTTTGCCATACAGAAATATCTATTATATTTGAAAATAAATTGAAATATTACAAAAACCACTAATTTTAGAGATATATCATTATATACAAAAATGTTATAGTATGGTCCTAAAGTTTTGGGAAAATTTTCATCTGGTTTGGTAAGGGTTTGGTTAAGTAATAAAATGCATTTAATGAAGTAATCATAGTAATGAAATGTCATCAGTCGTGTCACTTCAGTAAAGAAAGCAAAAGATTTTGGGTTCTGCTTCTTAAAATGTCTTATAAAATTGATCTTCGTCGAGGAGTTTATAATCTTGTTGGGCGAATGGCGAAACGAGATATTGTAGTCATTTATTGGGATCAAAACATTAGCAAATCGACAATTTATCGCACAATCAAAGAACGTGAAGAAGGGATACCATGTGTAAATTTGCCTAAATCCGGTCGGCCGCGGGTTTTGAACCAAATATGAGAAGGAAGACTAATTGAAGCAGCAAAACAGAAAATTGGGATCTCACAGCGAAAACTGGCCAGGAGATTTAAGTAGACAATCCCCCTATCCTACCTCAGGCTCGCCCAATCGAAGAGTTCTGGGCAATATTGAGTCGGAAAGTCTACAATAACGGGTGGGAAACACAAAACGAAGAACAATTGCGACGCCGTATATTCAGAAAAATTACAGAAATCGACGCCGAAGTTGTCCAAAGGATGATGCAACGCGTCAGGGGAATTCGTAGGCAAATCGAAAATAACGCTCTCTTGTCCACTGTTTGAATTTTATTTTATAATTAGAATAGTAAACATAGGTTGTTTAAAAATATGATAAAAATATAAAACTATTTTTGTAAGAGTTGTCAGTTTCTGAATTTTTTCCCAAAACTTTAGGACCATACGTTAGAATTTTACACAGAATATAAAAATAAAATAAACAATACACATTACACTTTTTTGAAGCACCCTGTATATTGAAAAATAATTTTTAATTATTGTGTATCTTATCATTCCCTAAACTTTTTCTATTTAACATTTTTTCGTAATTCTGAGAATCAACGAGATAGTAATGAATTTTATCGTTGACTAACCCTGTAAATTAGGGTTGCCAACCGTCCTCTATTCCAGAGGACAGTCCTCTTTTTGATATCACTGTCCTCTTTTTTTCACGTATTGAAAAACTCCTCTTTTTACATACCATACTCAACATCTTAAAAAGATAGAAAAGAAATTTATGTACAAGAAATATTTGTGGAAACGATAAACATGTTTAACAATTTTATGTTTACTGACTCATGTTTGAAGATTTTTTTTTTGTTGAAAACGGTTTGAGTATCAATATTTTTCAGAAAGTAAGAAAGATCATCAATCGTATTCCGTTTACAAGCCGTTTACATCACTTTTTGGTAAAGTTTCTAGACATAAAATATAGGACTGTCTAAAAATTGACATAAAACTTATCAAAAATTAACACTAATTATAGAAAGATTAAGAAAGAATGGAACGTTCCCAGATGGACAAGTCTGTTACTACACAATTTAAAAATAATTTTTACTCAATATCAAAAAATAAATTACAACCTTCTTTAGGCAAAGGCAAATTGAAAACCGTTCACTGTTTCGAACTAAACCAAGAGCA